ATCAATTTTCAAATACCAAATAAAGCTTATAAATCTATGCATTATTAAATTTGGAATCTCTGCATCACACTGAATGTCTTAAAAATGGCATGGCTTTATAAATCATCATAAGTTAAAAAGTGAAAAATGAACCAACATCACTTGCTATTTTTTATCTTTGCTTAAAAATGAGGAAGAGACTGTTTACCTATAAAATCCAACATCTTTGTGCAGAAAATGACGTTGTTCCACCATTATTTAGCCTTCTCAGTTCCAATAACCTATATATTAACAAAAATATTTTCCACCACAAGACATTGAAGCAATCTGGTAAGTTCAAAAAAGAAAACGTCCTTTACAACCATAGCATTATAGCCAGAATTGTTTCAATAGGACATAAGGTGATTGAATATTGACATTGAGAAAAAAATTCTAACACTAAGAAAATTGTGATTTTACCAATTCAGCCAAAGGTACCTCATTAAAATTATGTATTTCAAATCAAACGCAATAACCAGATCGAGAGTATTGAGCTCTAGCTTCTGAGTGAGGACCTAGTGTATAGCTCCACCAACAAAAACACCCATTGTGCAAGCACAACAAAAGGTGAATTTATTTTTTCAAACCCATGAAATCTTGTGTAGTTTATAATCATTAGAGAGAGGGAATCATACCCAAACCGAGTTCATGGCGAATAAACTCGTACCAAATTCAAGTCATTACTTCAAGTGTAGCAAGGGGAGAATTGATCTTTTCAAATAGATGACGAAGAATATGATAAATAAACAAATTGCGTTGCTCTCAAAGAAATGGAGAAATAGAAAGGCATGTGGTTGGAGTTAATGCTCCCATGGATCTCAATTTTTCCATTTTAAATTTAAAAAAAAAATTAATGAATCACGTCTTTATGAACAATACATCTTATCTTAGATTTCATGTAAAAGCATGAATGTTAAGATTTTTTAAAATTAGTTAAAATTAAAGGCTATATGCGTCTTTAATCATTTAACTTTACATAATGTTTAAGTTTGGTTCCTTAATTTTATAAAATTCTTTTCAATCCTTCTAACTTTAATACCGTTAGTTTCATTAACAAAAAATTCCTACATTAAACTTTTAAATATTGATAAAATATTATTAAATGTTAACGTATTAAGTTTAATTTTTTAAAAAATAATAATTTAAAACTAATGATGTTAAAGTTAAAGGACTAAATAGAAATTTTATAAAATTAAGAGACTAATTTAAAATATTATATAAAATTAGAAGATCAAGTATATACTTTAGCTGTATGTATATATATACACACTTAATGAATCTTATTATATTTTATTTTTATTTTTTATAACCCAAAAAATAGATAATGCAAATCCTACAAACTATTTAAAACTATTAATTAATATAATACATCATATAAAATTTATAAATAGTCATATTATTTATATGTAATGAATGTACTAATTTATTGATTATTAAAACGTCTCTACTTTTTCTTTTTCTTTTCAACTAAAATTCAAAAAAGGGTATATGATGGCCTGGAGAAAAACTAAGGGAGAAAAAAATTTATGAGGTGCAGTATAATATATGCATTGGAATTATTCAAAATAAATTGTCGAACAATGAGAGCCAAATTGCAAAGTACAAATTTGAGACCTCAGTTTTACAGTTGCAAAGCATTTTAACATGCTTCAACTATTGGTCAAGAAGGTGGCCCCAACAAGAAGACTTTTAGCTAGGCCCAAGGTACACCCCGTGCATGTTTTTTTCTCCCCTCCGAAAATCTAAGCCTAGATTGATAGCATGGAAAGGGAAGTGAAAGTAGAAGTGAAACTCAATTTTTTGATTGTTTAGTATGCAAGGATTCGGTTCTTGAAGGAACTTGGTTCCATCACATTATCCAAGGAATTGACTTTCATCCTCATTTCGTACTCTCAATCTCTCTCTTACCATGGACCCAACATTATTGACAATGTTCATCAACATTCATCGACATGGAGGAGGATATGAGGGTGCTTGATTGGCCATGGCAACTCCCAATCACAACTGGAGAGTACCTTTTGGAGGTCAACTGGAGGATATGAACATATGCTTTTAAATTTAAAAAATATTTATAAAGATATTTTTTAATTATCCACCAACAAAATCCTTACATTAGTAACATGATTTAATTTTATGATACATGTTTGTTTTTGAATGTAAGTGAACTTTTACTAAAAGCGAGAATTTGTTGTGTTTCACAAAAATTACATTGAAACAGGTTCAAGCATTGAACACATGATGCAAACTTGTAAAACAATCGCACATGTAGCAATAGATTTGATACATCCAGCTCTCAATCATATTCAAAAAAATAAGCACGAAAAAATGAGTTGATGATTAAATGACAAACTTACTTTAAACTATATGTGTAAAAGTGTCTAGAATTTTAAATTTGTTTTTAATGTAATATCACCTTTCAACTTTTAAAAATAATATAATATTATCTTTATTATTAATAAATGTTATCTTTAACTAGTTGTTGACTAAAAAATTATAAAAAATAATTTAAAAATTATAGAAAATGACTAAACATTTTCTTCATTTCTTTTCTATAGTTTTTTGGCTCATTCTTTATAAATTTGGATACTTTTTTTTGGTAATATTTGTCCTTTAATCATTAGCAATATAGAAAAATATATTAATTTGGAAGATATGATTGATTATAACTATTTATATTTGGGAAAATTCAGTCATTCGTTCCAATAGTTTTGGATGCTTAATTTGCTTTTAGTCCTTATGATTTTTTTAAAAATATTTTTAGTCTTATAGTTTTATTAAGGTTAAGTGATATTTTTTAGCTAGGTCCCCATAATTTCAATGTTTTCAGTATTTTTTTCTGAAAACACTAAGGCCCCGTTTGGTATGATTGAATAGTTTTTGATGGAATTGGAATTGGAATCGGAATCAGAATTGGAATCAGAATTGGAATAGAATTGAATTATAAAAGTATGTTTGGTATGTCAGAAAAATTAGATGGAATCCTTACATTACTTTTGTTTGGTATGCAAGACATGGAAATGGAATTATACTTAAAAGACAAAAATACCCCTATATAAAAATTAAAATAAAACATAATAAAAACTTAATTGTGTACCAATTTTCTTATGTATTTTATATATTAATGAAATATTATATAAATCATAGATTATATCGATAACTATTATTCACTAGCTTGGGCCAAACAAAAAGTTTTATCATCAGAGGGAACATTTTCTTGAAAATAAAATTGACAATGGTTCCCATCCTTTCTACTTTAAAATAAATACACTAACACATAGATTTAGAAGAAAAATGTCAAACAAATCAATTCTACTTCTTATACCAACATATTATATCTAGTAAAATATTTTACAAAAAATATTATAAATATATAAATTATATACAAATATTATATATAATACTATCTTATATCCATATTATAACGTTTTCATGTCACTAAGGATAAAGTTAACTATTTATCACATAAGTAGCATTTGTACAAAATGTCTGACTCAATTTTTTTGCCATATCTTCCAATGCACAATTTACCTACCATGGCAAAACCAAAAAATGAACTAAAGAAGTAGACTTGAGCACTTTACAATCAGACTTCCTATATATAAGGCAGCCACAACTATGTAATCAAAAAGGCTACCAACCATGACAGAGCCAAAAAAATATATCCATCATGGTTTACAATGTAGACTTAGCTACACTATAATACCCAAAAAGAAGCAGCATACATAACACATTTATGCATAAAGTATTTTGCGAACCACAGCTGCCTTAGCCTTATCTGGTAGGTTAGGAAATCCAACAAGAATTTTATCATCACCTATCATTTTAAGATATGCATCAGTGCGCTCATTGTCAGTAAGATCTTCAACCTTCAACAACTCATCATATAGAGCCTCTCTTCGTGCATCTAACATTGCTTCTCGAGCCAACTTGTCTAAACGAGCTCCTAATTGGGCAGAGGAATCCTTGATGTCTTGGGAAGTAGCTGCTAACATCTCTTTAAGTGCCTCAGTCAAAAACTCATCACGATCTTGACTAGTTCTTTTCCTTTTCTTAGACTTAGAAGTGCCAACATTTGTGTTTTCTGATGGATGGTCAGAGAATGTAATTGATGGATCCATCTCTAGTCCAATATCCACAGTATCTTCATCAACATTAGCAGCTATTGTATCAAACTCTGTATAAGCTTCAACCTCATGCACATCATTGCTTGAAAGTGACCCTTTTCCTATAGCTCTATCTTTTCCAAATATAGAGCATAGTGCATCAAAGAGAGGAAAGGGTTTGTTCTTGAAATGAGCAGCTTTTTTATGGCTCTACAAACATAAAATCACATAAAAATATCAATAGCTAGTAAGCTTACAAATTCAAATCTGCATCAATATTTATTATAAGTATAAAGCTGAAGTAAAAAATATTTTTCTAGTAAAGTTTTACCTTAACATACTCATCCCACACTTCCTTGTCTGCTGTAACACATTGTTTGTCAGGGTCCCAACCAAATCCAGATGTGTTTGAGCCATATAACATATCATATATGACCTGCCAACTAGTCTTCAAGGTCTTCAAACGAGATTGAATGTGAGGTACAGCTAGTATCCCACATCCAGGTGACTTCTCCTCTATCATTCTTTGCAACTTCTTTAAACCTCCAGCCTTAAACCCATTATCTGCAACCAAGGTCCCATCATCACGAAGCTGAAGCAAGGATTGCACAAGAAGAGAGTCTTCCTCAGGTGTCCAGACATGATGGGTTGACTTTGTGGAATCGCCACCTGTCATGATCTTACTTAAACAGCAAAAATTATCATTAGTTTTAACATACCATAACACAATCAATTGCTATGAAGATAAAATCTCATACATCACAATATTGCAAAGAAGGAAAACATCACCTAATAAAACCATTTATAATGTTGTCATTACACAAAACATACATCCACAAATATTCAACTAGAATTCAAGTCACATCTAGATTTAGGTGTCTCTTCTAATGCTCACATACTACCCCTATGACTCATAAGTTCAACAAACATTTCATTTGCCAAGGTATCACGAAAGTTAGCCCATGCATTTGATGTCTCAATTGTTTGAATATAAGGTATCTCCATATCATTGGTAGTTGTCTCCAATGCCTCTATCTCAATATCCAGTGGATCATCTCCTTGTCGACGGATCAAATTATGAAGGAGACAACACGCTATGATGACCCGATTATGGACTTGAGCAGGGTAGAATGAAGGACTCCTAAGAATAGCCCATCGTAGTTTCAACATTCCAAAACATCGTTCAATAACATTACGCGCAGATGAATGCCTCATGTTGAAGCACTCACGTGGAGTTAAAGGCTGCCGTCCATCCCTCCACTCACTTAAGTAGTATCGCTGACCTCGAAATGGGGCAAGAAATCCTTCACAATTTGCATACCCCGCATCAACCAAGTAATATTGGCCTACAAGAATAAAAGAAATTAACTTTAAGCTCATTACTACATTGATCATTACTTAAAAATAAATTAACATTACCTTGAGGCACTTTCAAACCATTCCTACGACTAATAGCATCTCGCAAAACTCTACCATCAGCTGCTGAGCCTTCCCAACCCGTTAAGACATATATGAATTGTCCATCCGGAGAGCAAACTCCCAACACATTAGTAGTTATTTCCCCCTTTCGATTTCTATATCTCGCTTTGTCAGCCATAGGCACCTTCATTTTAATATGGGTTCCATCAAGAGCACCTAAACAATGCTGAAAATAACAAATAATTAATTAAAAGAATAGATAAATTATATCATTAATAAAAGTTATGAATTAAGATATGAGATTACCTTAAACCACCTCCATTTTTCGTCTATTGAATCCTCAGCAATTGGCTCAGGTTTCTTTAGGAGCTCTCGATTCAGTTTCATCATAGAAGTTAAGACCAAATTAAAATACCTACTAATAGTTTCAGCAGACCTCCCAAAATAAAATCGTATAACTCTATTTTTTAAATGATGTGCAAGGATATGTAAGAACATTGCCACTTGCTCATCAACTAGCATGTTTTTAGTTGGTTTCAAACCTCCTATGACATCAAGCATAAGACATAGCTTGTCGAATGTGGCTCTATTCATTCTAAGCTGGTTATAACAAGTAATGTCACTGTTATACACCAAGTTTCGTAAGTGGACTCTATTAGCATAGAAGTCTACCGTATATGGCCTTCGACTAATGCGATTCCTACGCAAGGCTATAGTGGTACAAATGGCAAAGAAACATTGATACATAGAGTGAAGAACATGCATCCACCAAATCATCAAATGAACTATCACATCTCTCATTTCTGGATCCATAACTGTAGGTTATAAATTTTAAAATATCAGGATAAAAAATTCTAAAACATCCAATAAATATCACTTCAATAGACTAGAAACAGTATAAAATTCTATAGGCAACAAAAACAGTATAAAATTCTAGCATAAAGCCCATATTTAATAGACTAGAAAATCATGAAACTCTAGTAAATCATTTTAAATTAAACACACATTGTTGGTAAAGAAAAATGTTGAATACCACGAATAGGGTTATGTTAGCGTCAAACCTGGATGGACCAGAGTCAGTTTTCCTTATTACATGAGCAAAGAGGATTTTGAGTTCATACTAAGAGCCATGGAGTTTATAGCAGACTATGGCCAGAGATTCCTGCCCTTGTACAGCTTCAATCTGAGAAATGGAAGCTGGAGACCGAAAACAGAGGAACTTGGGAAGCATAGCAGACTATGGCTATTCAGTTTTTGGAAAAGGAAGGGACAACGAGAAGGAATGAGTCATACTTAGAAGCAGCAATGTATATGGCTAATCGACTCCCAAAGTTCCCAGCTCAAGAGTATCATACCAGGGCACATGGACCCCAGTGTCCTTTATTTCAGAGTTTAATATTCTTTTTGCCTATACTGCATGCATACTTTGTGAATCTACAGAAATTTGATGACACGATGAGACAAGGAATTAATGAATGCTCTTTCAGCCTTCATGCTATCATTATGGTCTTACCCTCAATATTCCTTCGAGTTAAACCCATACTAGTGAATCATTAAAGCATTTACGTACTTCTGGACTTCATTGATCAAGTCTGTTTGATTTATATTATGTGTAGCCTAATAAGAATAAATAACTAGACAATTCACCCACTGGGAAGTAATTTCGTGGCATTTGATTTGTTTAATTCTAATTAACTATAACCATTGAGGATAATGTACCAATAGGAGCAGAACAGATGTACAGTGTAGAGCAGGTTATTTGGGAAGAGTATAGTTGCATCTATGGTCAAACTATTGACAAGTCTATTTGTTTTTTTATTTGTAACGGGAATATCTACAAAGGATGAAAGGATAAGACAACTCACACATGAGTTATAGGATGCAAGGCATAAGAGAAGAAACAAAATTCAAAAATTCAGCAAAAAAATAAGGGAAAGAAGGGATGAAAGGATAAGGATCCGTGACTAGAGCCCCCAAAAGAGGAGAAGAGAAAGGTCTGGGCAGACTTCAGAATGTACAGCTTGTGAAAAGCTTGCGAGATCTCCAAAATATACACACTTGAAACATCTATGTACAATAACGGGTTCCCTCAATAATGCAATCTACAACGTGTTTCTTTTTAGGGCAAATAATGCAGTCTAGTTAATGTTAAATATAATCAAGACGATGTCTCTGCATCAAACCGAAGCCTATGACAACCTGAAGTCCCACTAATATTTAAAATATTCTATTTATTTGTCACTATATGTATATCAGGGTGGAAAAACAACTTTCAAGTTTCAAACCTAGCTTCATAGCTTCGATTGATACCCAGAAAAGAACCTAGCTTAAACAGGGGAGGCGGCCGAAGGATATAAAATCACAGATGAAAAAGAATGGAGGAGGGAAGTCGATTGATACCCATACCTTGGTCGCGAAATCCAAAATATTTGTCCAGACCGCGTCGTTCGTCGTCCGACTCGTCTTCGATCTCACCACAGCTCTCGCCTTCTCTCGGTCTGCAACAAATCTTGCTTTCTCTCGCTCTGCCGCGACCAAGCGTGAGTGTGAGTGAGGTGAGGGTTTTATTTTTTTTGAGGGCAAATTTGTCTTTTTGAAATTCGTATGAGGGCAAAAGTGTCTTAAATATTACAATTCCATAGAATTGCTCCCAATTCCATAGATTTACATAAGGAATCAAAATTAGCTTTTTTCCATAGAATTAGGATTCCCAGGAATTGTAATTCATATCTACCAAACATCACTTTATTCATATTCCTATCCCAATTCCATTTCCATCTTCACAATTCCAACCTACCAAACATGGCCTAAAAAAATATAAACTAAAAGAAAAATTTGATAAAACTATATAAGCAATGATTATATTTTTATTTATATTTTATATTGTGAAAAAAAAAAAAGAAAAATATGCTCATTGTAGCATTCGTGATGGAAGATAGGAAGAGTGACACAAAAACATTATGGAGGTAATACCATGAACTGTGAATTTTTAAAATTACAAAGTATTTCCTCATTTCTACACACACACATATATATATTATATTACACAGTTTAAGAAAGTTGGTCAACTATAATAATTATGACTAAAAATTAAAAACATAAAATGCTCTGTATTAATTAACATGAGCATACATTAGTTATTTTTAATTAATATAAATTATGAGAGGTGGTTTAAAAAATATATAATAAATGTCTATTAAAATGATTGATTCTGTTTATAAAAAATATAAGTGAAAACTAATAGTTTCCCAGACAATAAGAACGGAGACAGTGCCAAAGTTTTAATAAAGGACTAAATGGATAAAGATACCTATACATATTACATATTGCTTAGTTGCAAACAGAGGAAAAGGAATTGTAAATCAGGGGAACTTAGATGCCAATATAAAATAATTAATTACAAATAAGTTATAACTTATTGAAGCTTTCCTAATTTTAAAAACTCAACTGTAAATGTTAAAATAGTAGTTGTGAACAGCTGAAGATTAATTACGAATGGCTTGTGAATAACAAAAGTTTTAGAAATTCGAAAATTTTATTTTACAATTCATTTGCAACTAATCTGTTATTATTTATAATTGGATGGATTTTTCAGATTTACAAAATTTTTACAAGTTATAATTCATTTACAACTTATCTTCTTAAATTTACAAGTCTTATTTGCAACCAAGTCCTGTTTCAGCTACATCAGGACATTTTTTTTCATTTGCCTTTTTAAATTTTGGTTATCCTTTTTCTTTTTGTAAAATGTAATCTTTATTACTGTTCTATAACAAAAACAACAGTAACGTTTTTTCCCGCTAAAGAAACAACAGTAACGTTGAAATGACAATTAATTGACGGTTGTCATTTATTTTTTGAATTTTTTATATATCTGTTTTAAATTTTATAAATGTTTTAAATTTAAAAATTTATAAATGATTTGTCAATGTAAAATTTATTTTTATTGATAATAGGATTGTACTTTTAATTTTTTTATATTCTTAGATTAATGCAGAGCCAGTAATTTGAGAAGGCCAAGCCTGTTCATATCAAATTTAATTTGAATTGAGCTTATTCAGAGTATATTTAAAATATCATACTGTATAAAAAAAACATATATGGTCAAATACAACCTTAATCCCTCAAGCTTTCAAATGATCCAAATTGTTAAATATTATTTTATTTTATTTTTTTATCTAAATTTAATTTTTATTTAAAAATTAATATTTTTAATTTTAATATTATTTTATTAATAATAAAAAAATTTATGTATTCGAGCTTAGCTTATATTTTTTTTAGATTTATTTAAATAGCCCGAATAAGTTTGGAGTTAAAAAAAAACTTTTAAACCCTATCCTAAAATTTTTTGAGTTTATTAAGGCTGGCCAAAATCTAGGTTAATGTGCATATATTTTGTTATAAAAAAAGTTTTAATTTCATCTACTTTTTAAAAAATTTTGAAAAAAAAAAAATTTCTCACTTTCCCTTCATGCTTTTCAAATCTTCCTATAAATAATACAAGTTCAATAAAACATCTTACCTTCTGTAAATTGCATTTTTGACACTGTTTCTACTACAGTGTAATCCCCTAAATGCCCTTTTATGGTGGTGTTTGCTTCCCACTATTTGTTTATTATTGTGGGGTCCTCGTGCTGGTGTAATTTTTCTTTTTTATAAAGAATGATTGGTTGTGATACTTGTCAATGCCTCCCTGTTTAATAATAAAATTAGATTTATATCTTATGTGACGAATGAAAATATTTTAGTTTTAAAAATAAGAATAAATATTAAAAATTTATTTTAATATTTTTAAAATAAAATATATTGCTTTCTCCTCTATTACAAAAGTCATAAAATACAAACACACTTTTTACTTTTAAGTTTTTGTTTTCATTTATTTAATCATTAATTGATAGTTGTTGGATTAAAACTTCATGCTTGATATATTATTTTACATTTTTACTCATATTTTAAATTTATTAGTTATACGAATAGATTTTTTTAGTATATTTTTTAAAAAAATTAAATATATACTATCTCTTTTTAAAAATTTAAGACAGTTTTAATTAAATCTTATCTTTTAATAAAATAATTATTTATTTTTAAACTAACACATTCTTTTCATATTTATTTTTATTTAATAAAGTGTTTTACTTTAAAATAATATAAAGTAATTTATTTCTTAGGGGCCATTTTTTTAAAAAAAAGCAATGATTATATTTTAAAATGCTAAAAATATCTTATATTTTTTAATATTTAATCCTTCAAAAAATAATTTATATTTTTAAACAAAAGGAGTAAATTTGTTGCAATAATATTTCAAAAACATATGTGAAAAAAAAATTAATGAAATAAGAGATAGATTAGTCAATATAATTTATATTTATGTTCATTTAAATTTTATAATTTTCTTAAAATATTTTTGAATGATTGTCATACTTAATTATTTAAAGTTTCTTTTTTGGCAAAAATTTGTTTGAGGTTCCTTAAATTATAAAGCAAAATGATAGGCAAAT